TTCAAATATTTGAAGAACTTTTTAAATAGATAATTCTCAGCAGCGATCATTGTTCTTTCACTATATACAAATATTTCCTGGACTGGGCTGCTAAACATAAATGTAAACATTCAAATGTTGGAGCTAGGTAAACTTTCAAGACCAAACAACTTCTAGGTCATTGCGCGTCACAACATAGCAATACGGCGTTCTGATCGTGTATTATATGCAGTTTAACTCGAAATTTATTCGTCTCAAATGTTAATATGAATCATAAACAACAATGTTAAAAAGTTCACTGGAAAATGAACTTTTAGTTGGTACGTGATCAAATCTTCTGAGAAGCCCTTCACAGAATTTAATCACGTGACCAATTAAAAGTTTTTAACATTCTTGTCTAGGTCTTATATATTTTTAAATTTTTGTTCTAACGAGGTTCCAGTCGTTTGAGGATGTTTGTTTACGAGTATACAGTGTATAAAGGGAGCAGTTTTCTCAAAATGGTCAGCTCTTATTTATTGTCAGGTGGCGTGACCAGCCGGATGTGTGCCATGTTTGTTTTCCCCTACATGCTTTATACATGTACAAGTGGCGAATATTTTCGGTGAGATGTAGCAAGGAATATAGACGGATACATGTAGCCATATACATGTAACTTTTTTGGAGGAATATTTCAGCATGTACATGGAGTTCTAACCGATAAGAGTGTTCGAATAATGTATATATTTGGTTTATTTATTTATTTATTTTTTTTTTATTTTTGGTTTAGGCTGTAAATTAATTAATTAAGTAGTATTTGTAGAAACGATTTAATTCAGTGCGTTGGGTGCTGGTAGAATATTGTAAACATATTAGACGGGCTTAGGGTCATTGGACGACTGTTACAAGCGTTTGAGATCAGTGAGGAACGTTGTATGGAGGGCCAGTCGTGTCATTTCCAATCGTCAATGCTGATCTGGAATCTATGTTGGTATGACAACGCAGTGGAAGGCGATAGACCCGGTACTACGATTAAAGCAACTACATGTACTACGTGGTGACGGAAAAACGACACGACTTAGACGTTCCTATACATGTATGAGTGCTATGGCGGATGCAAGTGTGGCGTGACTTCCGGTGAACTTTTATAAGAAGATGTGATACATTGTAATTTTTGAATTGTTTAAGTAAAGGAAATTATATGTTGAAAGTATATATAATTATTACCGGGTATTTCAAATTATATGAGCTTTTTCGGAATATCATTTTGAGTCAATTTTGGTGATATTTTTAATATGATATAATATCTGATACATACTGGATGAGTATTTGAAAAAAGTTAATAGTGAATTAATAGTAAGTATCAGAAGTGATGAAAACTACTATAATTACATTTACTTCAATTCAAATTTTTGAGCCTGTTTGTGAAAGTGACATAAAATTTATTTGCTTTCTTTATTGGTGAGGTTCATGGGGCAACGATCAGTATTCAAGCTCAAAAGTACATTAAAATTACAAATAGTAGCAGAGCAAACACAGACCTCCAAAACATCAGAAGTGGAATCAGTTGACATGGAGGAATGAGCATTCCCTGCCAACCGGTCGCATTTGCTGTGGATTCCTTGTCATGGTCGGGAAATAAGGGATAAAAATGTCGTCAATTCAGTGTGTAAATAATGACCTAACAATAAGTATAAAAAATGTCAGTCAGCATTTATCTCAATGATAATTTTATTTGCTAACAAGGTCATTGTATCGACCATAGAACTTACGAAAGGTTGACTTTCAGCGGGACAGCTGATATGCATAGCTCTTCCTTGAATCAGGATTGGTGTTGGAATATTTTAAGAATGATTTAAGGAATAACTATCTCATTTTTCGATTTCATGATGTGATCAATCGATTGGCTTGCGTGATAATTTGCATTAACGCTGAAGGCGTTACAATCGGTTACAAAGGAGATAAATGATTAAAAATTATTTATAAAGTAAACAATGCTCGTGCCTTGTTTTTGTTTACAAATAGAAAATGGCATATTTATGACAAAACAAGATTCAGCAAATCGATAGAAAATGTGTAATAGTATTTAGAATAAACTTCTTCAAATGAAAAATCTGCTTTGAATGTACATATATTAGTATATTTATTTGTTAACGAAAACATGATACTGGCCTTGTTTAAATAACAAAAGTTTCTATCTCTACATCTGTCTTGTATTTCGACAAGTGAAGTTCGAATTTTAGATGATCATTAAAAATAAATTTATTAAGTTTCTTTAAAAATAAAAAGAATGGAAAAATCAATTTGATGTTTTAGCTGAAACTGTGTCCATGTACCTTTAACAAATGCCGTTACATTTCCAAATCTAAGCACTGAGAAAAATTATCGTACTCGGTCAAGAGACAAATAAAATTTTTTCTTTATAATTTTATTTTCAAAATGAATATATTTCGACAAAAGATATTGTAATATTAAAACTATACAATTATAGCCTTTTGATGAGGTCAATCCCTCGATATATAGACCTTAGAGAAAGCGTATCGACCGAGCACGAAGTGCGAGGTTGATATGCTTTCTCTAAGGTCTATATATCGAGGGATTGTACCGAATCAAAAGTCTACAATTGTTTTATTATTTTTTATCAGTAAATAAGAAATGTCTGAAAATCCTTCTTTCTAATACTCAGTTGACAGTACCTTCCCATACAAGGCATTCTTATGTCATTGCATTATGATGTCACAGTAATGAAAACCAGCTGCAGTATATGTTTTTAGAAACATCCAGTCTATAAAGACTATTGTGCCGTCAGCACTATTGCTGCGTCACAGAAGAACGTTTCCAAGTGTAGAAACAGCAGGTGTTTTTTTTAAATTTTATTTTCATTTCTTAATACAAACAAACAGTGAAATATATATATAACAGACAAATTACATTATAAACAATATGTTAGTATTACCTTAAGATAATTGATACAGAAACATTTTATGCAAAATATTTAAAAAGTTTGTAGTCAACAGAGTTCAAATTTTTAAGAATGGAAGCATAGAAAAAAAATTGAAGATTCAACGTGGTTGAAAATGTTATAACTAGTTTCATCTAAGGAATTTAGTCTACAGTGCATCTTATATTTATAAATATAAATGATTGCGTTGAGTGATACAATTTTTCTAATGCGCTCAGAGCTAAATCCAATTATTACATGTTTCCATTTGATATCTATTTTCAGGTACAAACTTAATCTGTTCCATATTTAAATAACATTTCTACATTCAAAAATGAGATGTTTTGAAGTTTCGTTCACGTGGCATAATTTGCAATGACTGCTCGTTTCTTTTTTTCCATTTACTGAGATAGAAATTATTACAAAGAATATTGTTTAAAAGTTTATAGTTGAATTCTGTGAGTTGTTTATCGGGTATGTCATATAATTTACATTGATATGTATTTTTCCATTCTGAGGGTTCAACACTGAATTCCTTGCTTAAAACTGTTTGATAACATAGTTTACAAAATTTTCTGTGTACAAGATTGTCATAGAAAAAGTTACATCTTTGATCTATGACATTAACATATCCTGTATAGAAGAGAAAAAGAATTTCTGTATCGTATGTTAACAAACTTACAATTTGAAAAGTCATACTTTAGTAGTTAAGGTTTGAAAACAGAAGTAAGAATTTTAAATTTTAAACCAGTTTGTCTTGTTTTTTATACAATTGGAAAAATCTAACAATGATTTGAAAAACCACCATCGTCAAATAAATCTTTAACATGAAAAATCCCACTGGCTATCCAGTTTTTAAAAAATAATGTATTTCCTCTATAAACAAAGTTACAATTTTCCATATCGGCTGTTGAAGAACATTATCGGAGGACATTTTGTTAAAAAAACAGGGCTTACATTCGTTAAAGCGACATAAAAATAGGTAGTTTTTCTAGTTTTTCTATATTTTCTATCTTTCTATGGGAAAAACCTAGCACATAAAGAGCATCAAAATTTGATTTCTTAGAATAACCATCAAAAATGTTGTACAAAATACCTTTTAACAATCTAGGTACCCAAGCTGCCTTTAAAGCTTTTAATTTACATTCAGTATCAACGATTGAGAGGCCACCTTTTGAAATTTTACCTATAAGCGTGTTTCTTTTAACGACGACGGACCTAATTCATTTCTTCAATAGAAAATTTACCCAAATTTTAATATGAGGTAAAGTGACTTTTTGTGAGTTAAAATCGATGAAAAAAATATATGGTCATCGATATAGATTTTTAATAGGGAGCGTTTCAAAAGTAGGCAACGAAAATCGATGGGAAAATGTGAGTTTGTGGTATAAAAGTGATGATTAAAAAAATTCTGCAATAGAATTTTTGTTCATATTAAGATAAAATGTTAACAAGATAATTTAGTAGCAAATAATGCCAAAAAATTAATAGGTCATCGGCCTAGATTTTTTAAGGGGGTGTGTCAAACTCTGGTGAATGGCATATTTTGAGGGAATTTTCATTGAAAATACCTTGGCAAAATAAATTGTGTCGTTTTATTTCCTTATTCTTCAATTTACTTTTACACTAAATAAAAATAATAATTTAAAGTTGTTTAAAATTCTAGGGATGGTGATAAAGTAGGATTTATATGAAATAAATGTGTATATTACTCTAGGGATTGTCTCAAAGTACGATTTTGTGACCCACATCCCAAGGGAATCAATATTTGAAAGCCTGATTATTTCAGAAATTAATGTTTTCTTAGCATACCTGTAATTAACTAAAATACTTGTACCTGATACAGTGTTTGTCAAATTTAAAATAAGCATAGGTAGTAAAAGTTTAAGTATAAGGGACTGTTTCAAGATTGGTGTTTTTGATTTTTCGTTATATGCGTGCTTTACTGTATATGATCAAATAGTCAAATACTGATGCATTCATCAAGAAAATAGTACAGAAAAACAAAAGGCTCATGGGCGAAATTGCTCATCTTAGCACACTGGCTAGAGAAAAAAAAATCACTTCAGTATTGAGAGTTTACATGGGGGGGGGCTTGAATCTAAAAAACCTGATGATGCTTCCATATCAATATAACAACTGGCTTTGCTGTTATTGAGCAGAATTTTTTTTTTTAATTTAGCAAGACCTTTCATTTGATACTAATTACATTGACCTTTTGACCTTGACCTTGGAGATTTTTGTACTTATTAAAAAACTTTAAGATTGGCTTACTTTCAAATTTCACAATTGTTTTCCAGTGAGAATACCCTACTCTTGGTACCAATTAATTAAATTTGCATTAATTTTAAGAAAAGCTTAATCTTACCTATGTTGCCATACGGTGGCATCAGTGTTTCACGAACACATCTTGTTTCTTGGTATTTCTAGGTAAAACTTTGATCCCCTATTGTGTCCCACCTTAAACCCCACTCCCCCCTGAGCTGAAATATCTATCAATTTGTAATCTGGGAATGTTTTCGCAAAATTTGACAATAATGCACCTGTGTTATATTACTCTGAGTCTAGGCTACTATAATTGTAAAAGTATAAGAATTTCACACACAGGTAAAATACTTTATTGATAAAGTATTTCACATTTCAGGAAAAAATGATGACAGGTATAATAGATTTAACTATGGAGTATCAAACAGTACCATTGGGTATCAAATACATGTATTGATGAAATTTAATATATAAAAATATTTTTCTTGTATATGTTTGTTTATAATGATTTCACTCAGTCATTTTAAATAGCTACATGTATTAGCTGTTACTTTATATACAAACTTTGATTTTTTTAACTAGTTTTTTTTTATGAGATATAACATATGTACAAGTGGGATAAAACTAACCGTACACTAACTAGAGTTCCTAATTATTTCATCACATCTGTACATATATCTAAAAAATGATGTACATGCTGTTTACATGTAGAACAACACTAAAAACTTGCAATATTGTTACATATGAAAAGTTTGTAAAAATTTTCCCAGTGGCTAATCATATATTCTGGTGCTGTAAAGTTGGAGGTCTTTTGGTTGAGAGAGTAAAGGTTGGAACAGCAGACATTGGCACAATAAAGAACCCTCACTCTTCATTGCTCCCTAGTGTCATTCACTGCATCTTGTGACTTCTCATCAGGGTTGAATAATCTTGTAACATGTGTTAAGGCTTAAGCTACAACAATCAATCCATGCCTGCGAGGTGCATTTTTGGAAATGCTGGAAATTCAAGAAAAATTCCTGACGACGATGGGTGCTCTAATAGATGCAGCAATTTTAACTATCTGCATATTGTTGTTTCTACCTGAAATACACAAAAAAACCTATGTGATACTCAGATAAATAAATAACATTCAATCAATCAATATCAAGTGTACAGAATTTTTTGCATTTTGTTAACAAAGGTAAAATAAAAAAAAAAAACACTATGCACCCAGAGGCAACAAAGATTTGAAAAGCTATTTTTAGCTTAAGGGTCACAGTCAAGGTCAAACTAAGGGTCATTTACTATGGTGTCTTTTGAAAACTTAATTAGTGGATTATGCATATCAAATATGAAGTCTCTATCTGTTAAAACCTATGGCTATATAAGGTTAAAGTTGACAACAGACAGACAAACAGATAAACAGACAAACAGACAGGACAAAAACAATATACACCTCTGATCTATCGATTAAGGCGCATAAAAAACAAGATGTGTTTGTTAAACACTATGCGCCCGGCGGCAACAAAGTTCGAAAAAGCTATTTTTAGCATATAGGTTACAGTCAAGGTCACAAGATCATTGACCTTGGTGTCGTTTGAAAGCACTTGATTAGTGAAGTACGCAAACCAAACATAAAGTCTCTACCTTCAATGGTTTAAAAGTTATAGCAAAAGTTCGAAAAATCTATTTTTAGCAAATAGGTCACAGTTAAGGTCACAAGGTCATTGTCCTTGGTGTCAGTTGAAAGTGTTTAATTAGTGGAGTATGCATTACAAATATGAAGTCTCTATCTCTCATGGTTCAAAAGTTATGGCAAAAGTTCGAAAAAGCTATTTTCAGCATAAAGGTCACAATCAAGGTCAAAAGGTCATTGACCTTGGTGTCAGTTGAAAGTGCTTCATTAGTGGAGTATGCATACCAAATATGAAGTCTCTATCTCTCAGGGTTCAAAAGTTATGACGAAGGTTAAAGTTGACAACAGACAGACAAACAGATAAACAGACAGACAGGACAAAAACAATATGCGCCCCGAAAAAATTCAGGCGCATAATATATGAATAAACTGAAATACTCAAAATAAAAATTAATATTCACACCCTAATAAAGCATATGATTAATCAGCATTGTCAGTGTACAAAGAATAGGAGAATGACTTTTAACATTTACATCCCTTTTGAAAAGTCATGAGTGAAGTTTTCATTTTAAAGGACTTCAAAAACATACCTAAACAAGTCTTGGGTAATTTTTTCTTCAACAGCAGGTATTTCCTCAGTACAAGTATCTCAGTCTGCAGATTTTTTCTGTGGTAAAAAAATATAAAACATTAAATTTGATATGCAAAATACATTTGAGTATTGTGATCTACATACATGTACATGCATCTTAAATTTGTATAAAATAGTATTATCAGTGTGATTCAGTTTTGAGTTGTTAATTTTTTAAAGCCGCGGGTGCATGTACTGTAAAAGATGAAGGCAACTTATTATTATCTTTTTTTGGAGGAAACAATTATGAATGATACACAACTAATAATTCAACAACTTTTTGCATTAAAACAAATGATTCAAGGGTTCAAATACCATATAATCCCTATTAACCGCCTCGGGCGTTTAGAAAATTGTAAAAAGGGGGCAGTTTTTTTTGGTACTCTATTTATGATATTCAATGTCATATTTTAACTTTAAAAAATCTTGAGAAAAAAAAAATACAAGGAACCAATAAAATAATGTCTAACTTTACTTAAAGTGAAGATATCCCACCCAAATTATGCTAAATTATTCATTACCATTGAAATATTGGATAATAGATAAGTTTAATTTTCACTTTCTTCAATATTTTGATACAATTCTTGTTGATTTTAATCACTTTACAGCCAGAGGGCCCTTATTTCCTGACAATTGAAAAAGACCTAAGGGGGCGCTTATAGGGGCAGGGGCGGTTAATATGGATTATATGGTATATAACGTATAAGATAGCATACTGCCATACTTGATTCTAATGATTACATGTTGGTAACACAGGGGAATTACCAACAACACATGTGTAAAATATCTTTAAAGAAATTTGCCGGTACGTCGATTTACCCAAATGGACCCAAATGGACCCAAATGGAACCCAAATGGAAATCAAATGGACCCAAATGGAAATCAAATGGACCCAAATGGAAATCAAATGGACCCAAATGGAATTTTTAATATGTTTTACTGCGGTTTTATTAACTTTTACTTGTAAATTAATTACTGTTTTGATTATTTTAAGTATTATATGTGTTCATGTATGTTTTTGAAAATTAATTAAATACTTTATACATTATATTATTATTATGTGTCAAAGTACGTTGTCTTTTTTTCTTACGAATAAATATATTTGTATGGGATCATATTATTTTTTAAAGGGGGGATATATAATTGATTTCAATTATTAATGGGTAATTATCCAATAGTATCGATGAATTTGTACTATAATTTGGAGTACTTAGCAATAACCAATGGGATTAATTTATATCTTTGAGAAGATAATTATGAGACATTTACATTTTAAAAACACGCGTTTTGGGGAAAATTCTTCCTACCTGAATTTTTCTTCAAGGAGAATTTGGATTCTATGTACGGTAAGTCTTTTTTCTACATTAAATGATTTTTTTCCTATAAGATATTAAAAAAGCACTGATTTAATTAAGTGAATCAATACATATTTCCTTTTATTTTACATAAGAAATAATTGAATATTATACTTTACTCCGGCTACATATATAGACATTGATAAGCATACTGTTGCATTCATTTAAAAAGAAAAAAATAAATAGAACGTACATACAAGATATTTTTTTTTTAAATTAAATTATTTTTATACATGCAATATAGATTAATATAAAAGACATCAATTAGATTTTTATTTATAAACCAAGTACAATAATCACTTTCATTATATACACATAAAAATATAACAATAATCTTAATCTAAATGTGTAATTTTTTAGAAGATATAATTGTTTACCCGTATTAATTAGACCTCCTTATAGTTGATACTGTTCTATAGTAGGGTAATGACGATATTGTTATGAAAACAACCGATTATTTGACACGCGTCACATAATTTGTGTACTCCTAATAAACAAAGGAAGGCAGTAGTTCAAATTACACAACTCTTCGCATTTTGTTAAATAAATTATCTAACATTACAAAAAATATTTACTACATTGTATAGTAAAGCGTAGGTTTTTCTTTATATCAGTAATCTCTGTTTTTAGAAGAAATCTAAATGTATTCCTTTTTAATTTCGATCTGTAAATGTCTGAATTTAGACATACACAATAAATTTACATATATACATACAATCAATCTATTCTTAGTTCTTTGTATTATGTGAATTTGAGCAGACATGTAAATTATTAATTATATATATATATTTATACAACATTTACAATCAATCCATTCAATGGAATTTGCTATTTTACTCTTATAAAATTTTTCTCCCAATATCTTAAACATTTTGATTATAGGCACGAAATGAAATACGACTTAACAAATGCTAATTAAGGTTTTATTTTTGTTACAGATTCCTTTCACAATGCCGCGCAAACAAAAAACCAAGAAGAACGAGTGGCCCTGTGGTCGTTGTAAAAAGAACTGTGTTTCGTCTTGTGTTTTCTGTGCTATTTGTGAAAAGTGGTACCACTGTGCTTGTGAAAGTGTAACTTTGGACAAACTTAAAATCATATCAGACAATCCAGAGGATTATATCTGTGAAACCTGCCGAAGTGACGATGGGAAATTCGACTTTCTGATGGGACTGGAGCGTCTGAAGCAGGTAGGGATATTATTCTTTATATATCAAAAGTACCAGACTAGGGTATGGAGTCAACTTTCAGAAATAGTAGATAAAATTTAGAACACTTTAAATATATGGAAATGCTTAAGATATTCTTCCTTATCGTTTTCTGGATTAAAAAAAATGTTTTTTTTAATAACTGATTTCTATTTTTTATTTCAAGACTTTGAAATCATCTTACAGAAGTAAAAGATAAAATAGAGAAATGTTTCAGATATTTAAATATTTTGTTTCTTAATTAAACATGAGAGAATAACTTAAATTAATGCTTATGAAAACGCAAATTGGGTAGGTAGTATTAAATATTACCTGGTCTGGTACTTTCTTTTAGAAATTATACATTGCTTAAATATTTTGTTATAGTATGCAAGGTAATAAAGCGTAAAAAGGGTTTTGATAAGTATAAATTAATGTTGATTTCCATATTAAGCTTTATGTGTTGATGATAATCATGCATATCTTTTTACGCTTTATTATTTTTTTGTTGATTTTAGATCTGTAGACTGTAGAGTTATAACTTGTCGTATGTAAGAAATTGGGCATACATATTCTTTACGTGTATTTTTCTGTGAGGATGTTTCATAATACTAAAAATGAGTTATTTGGTAAAATATGAAAACACCATTCATTTGAATGTTATTTATTCTGGTTAAATAAAAAATATGTACATGTTATATACATGTGATATTTAAACAGTTAGTACAAGTCAGTCTCAAGTATTTGTACAATAAGTCAGTCAAAGTAGTAATAAAGCCATAATACGATAAATTCAATGTCTACACAAGACGCGAACTAAACGACACTGAAACTTTTTCATCCCAGACACTGTGTCTTCTGTTGTTGTGCTAAGATGAACTCTGTCTTTATCGTAGTGAGATGGGTATCGGATGTCACTAAAAGTCACGAAGCATTGACCGTAGGTTTTCCTGAGATATCTGTTAAGGAGTCTTCTTTTCTTGTCAAATACACTTTTCGTTAATCCAGATGATCGAAAGTTTCCTCTTGTCATAATTTCACACACATATACATGTTCAGCTACACTCTTTGCATCACGTACGATACAAGCAATATTGTCATAAATTTCTTTCGGTGAACAGTCTTTACTTATATCATTACCTCCCAAACATACAAAAACTGTTTTGGGCTTGAAACACAACATTTCACGTAGTTGTCTTATTTACTTTAAATAGAAAATTATTTTAAGGATTGAGCAAAACATAAAAACAAGGTATTTAAAAAATTTCAGGCTGCTGGACATGGTATCACAAAACTGCTCTCCGTTGCCAATCGCGAAGCATTGCTTGTTGAAAACCGTTCTGTCCGTATCCAACCAGCCACTCTCGCCAACATGGAGATAGATCCCATTGCCGACAGACTCCTCCATCACTATCACTTCAACGGTACCAACGACGCCGCTATTACATCCACTGGTGATGGGGATTGCCTCTTCAATTCTGTATCCCAGTTGCTGATAGGGGACGAGACGTTGTCAGTGGAGCTGCGGTACAAAACATGCCTTGAGATGTGTCTAAACAAGAACATTAGGACTTACAAGGACGCTGCCAGTTTCTACTATAACTCTCCAACTTATGACCAGGCCGTGTTAGATTGTGCCAGAATCCGATCATATTCCAGTGTGTGGACAATACTTGCTTTGGCCAATGTAATAAGTACTCCATTAGATGTGTTATACCCATGCGTCAATGGTACTAAGGACTTATCCTTCATGAAGCTAAACATGAAGCTTAGGCCAGAGGAACCAGTGTGCGAAGTGCCTATCAAAATTATGTGGTCCAGCACCTTCCAACCAATTCCAGGCAAAACGTGGACCCCAAACCACTTCGTGCCCATTGTGCCCAAATCATCAGCCACGCAAGTAAAGACTAAACATCTTACATTCAATTTTGGCTTTAACAACTTAAGCTTCGACAACAAGGACAAATCAACCCCCAAACCAATTACCAAGCAGGACAAACTTCAAACCAGGAAAACTTCAAAGCAAAAGCCACTGCCAGTCCCTGAGGTAATTTCACCGGTATCCGTACATTCATCACCAACTTACTCCCTTCCATCGCCTAATAGTACACCACCGTCTTCCCCCGAAATGCCAATGCCACCAAGGAAAAGACAGAGAAGTACATGCGAGCCACCAGCAACACCGAAAATGTCAAAACCTAAGAAGCAGAGAATACGCATCAAGGCCTCTCCAAGATCTTCACCAGTGCCTTCACCACAGTCGTCACCATTGTCTTCACCAATGACATCCCCACTGTCATCTCCTGAGAATAGTTTCCTGTCCAAAAACAGCTTTTCCGTCTTGGAGGATGAAGACTGTGACATGCAGACTGAGGAGACTGGAGAGCCCACAACACTGCAGACCCTGACAAACGACAAATTCATGACAGTCGACGAAGCCTACAAAGCAGTGACAACGACACCAAGCCATGCGGTCGCGCCAACTATACCAAGAGGACCAAAGAACAATGTCTATTTACTGTTGCAGAGAACATCCGACAATGTACACGAATTTCCAGATGACTGTGGAGCATGGGGCCGTGCAGGAACATCAGTAAATTCAGTAAATAGATTTGCTGTTGGTTGTATATGTATTTTGTTCTTTTTAGTTTCCATAGAGTTCTTCTTTGTGTATTTTTAAAAATTATTATTTATTTAATTTCATTTCAGTTTAATAATCGAATTTCATTTTTTTTCCTCATTCATCAAAGAACATAAACTAAAAATTACATTATTTTTTCTCCATTCTTCCTGTTTTCTAAAAAAAAAAACAAAAACTTTGGCTTTTCTTTAGAATTTAATTGATTTTTTATTTTTCAAATTCAAAATTATGGCTCTTCTTTGGGATGGCCTCCACGTGGCAAGAGCTGGGCAACGTTATCTATAGACTTTGATAACGGCTAACGATCCCTATATTTGATTATCTAAATATTATTAACCGTCTATTCATTTTACTTTAATCAAACTTTAATAATACAGTTATTTATCTATATAACTTTTAATAATTAACTTTAAAAAATGACTACAGTAAAAAATTGAACGATAAACTAATTTCATTTTACATCTAAATCCTTCGAATACTCAAATAAATTATTTTTTTCACTTTATATAAAGTTTAATATGAAAAATATTATATTTTAATTTCCATTTGGGTCCATTTGATTTCCATTTGGGTCCATTTGATTTCCATTTGGGTCCATTTGATTTCCATTTGGGTCCATTTGGGTTCCATTTGGGTCCATTTGGGTAAATCGACGCACCCGAAATTTGCTAGTTTAATTTCATTGCTATATGGGAAAAATTTTATCAATGATTGAATGAAGCTAGCACAAAATACATATAATGATATATTTAAAAATAAAGTGATCAGCCTGTTTCAACATTGCTGGTACTTTACTTGATTCATCTCTAAGCAGGTAAATAGCCAGGTTTATCTGCATGGCTTTATATTTAAGCTTGGTTGATTATTCTTTGAGAATTAAGTATGCTTATAAATTAACCCAGCTGCTCTAATAAGGTATTTTGCTTAACATTTACAACCTTTTGCAATTGCATCCAAAATTTTTAACATTTTTACATAGACCTAAAGATGCATTAAAAGAAATATATTCAACAATAATAACAAAACATAATGAATAAATGCAACATTTAGCCTAAAACAAAAAATCTATATATGGTTACCTGTTCCAAATGAAATACTGAATAGTGTTGATATCACATCAGAAATTTCAAGCTTTGGCAGCTGTTAGGTCCTGGCATTCCGGGGTCTTGTTTTCTCCTCCATTTACAAACACTTATATGTTCATTTAGCATCATGCATGTTTAGTTCATCTTTAGGACGTAACAGACATTATTCAGAAAAAGATCTTTCCTTACAAATCATCTCCATCAGAAACATCAACTTGAACTTATTGTCTCAGGCCACGGTCCAGAATCCGCTCTAGAATCGTATCGATAATGAGAGACAGGGGTCGTACATTTGGCTGTAGTTTATGACGATGTTTGTACTTGCTGCACTTCATTTTTTAATGAAAAACGAAGCTTCAAATGAACAAAACCAGCCTAACCGGCGAGTCAGGAAAGTCATCAACATCACAACACGTTTTTGTTTACTCGCCATGCGCTTATGGCAAATGTCGTAAAATAATCATTTACTTATAGAATCAACAAATGAATGTAAATCGAATTGTGTAAAATATTTTTGAATTGGGAATAAAGGTATGAAACTCTTTGTAAACATTAAAAAATGTATATCAATCATCTTTAGCAATACATAATTACGTCAATCTGATTCAAGGCAGATGCGCGACTTCCTGCGCAGTGGTGCGAAATTTCGAATTAGGTCTGTCGTCCTTAATTCGTTCATTTTTATCCCAAATAAAGTTATAAATTAGACGTTGTATTTTTTTTAATGTAAGCAATATCAGGAAGAGTAAGTATTGAGGCAACATATGTGAGTTTAGATATTGCAAGTGTCTTTACTATACATGATTTACCAATAACGTTAGTTTTCTTCTTTTCCAGGATTCAAAAAGTTTTTCAATATCGTGATAAATTTTCATCCAGTTTTTAGTGTAACATTCTTCCTTATCATGTCCTATGAATATTCCAAAGCATCTTACTACTTTATTCGTAATTTTTATAGAGTTCATCATATAATTTTTTTAGTTCTCCTAATAAAATACATTCTGTCTTATGCATGTTTACTTTTTATCCCGCATCTTCACAAAATTCTTGTAATTTATCCAGAGTTCGCTTCAATGATATTTCGTCTTTTAAAGCTACAGTCAAATCGTCCGCATGTTGGATGTTTTTAATTTCATGATTATTAATCGTAATGCCTTTTATATCAGTATCACATTTTATTTTAATAGCCAAAATTTCTGCGACGAAGAGGTACAAGACAGCGGAAATAGGACATCCTTGCCTAATTCCTCGTGTCATTTCGCTGGTTTTAGAAAGCCAGCCGTTGTTTTTCATTTTAAACATTGGATTTGTATATAAAATTTTTGCCCACTTTATAAAACTATTACCAATATTAAATTTTTGTAAAATTCCATTCCATTCAACCGAGTAAAAGGTTTTTTAAGGTCTAAGAAAAGTAAAATACCATCTGAATTTTCTCTTTCACGGTATTAAAAAACGTCAAGTACTAATCTAGCATTTTCACCGATATATCTTCCTTTAATGTATGCAGTTTGATTTTCGTTAATTAACTTATATAGTATACTTTGTAATCTTTTTGCAAAGACAACAGCAATGATTTTGTAATCTGTGTTTGTTAAACTTATCGGTCTGTAATTTTTTTAATTATCTTTTTCACCTTTTTTGTAAATCAGTGATATAATTGAAAGTTTCTGTGTGTAAGACAATTCACCTTTATCAAAAAATACCAATAAGGGCTTTATAAAAGAAGGGCCCAAGTTTTTCCCAAAAACATTGATTAAATTCACTAGGAAGGCCATCTAGTCCAGGTGATTTTTCTTTTTTCGTGTTGTAAACAGTTTCCTTACACTCTTCATATGTTGGAAATTTTTCTAGCAATATCTTATCTTCTTCACTTAATTTAGGAATATCTCAGATAAATATTTTTCTAGTTTTTCGTTTGAAATGTCTTTACTCGTATATAGTTCGCTATAGAAAGAATGCATTTCACCTAAAATGGCATTAGTTTTACTGATTTTGTTTCCTTCTCTTGTTTTTATTGCTTTAATTATGTTTGATGATTGGTTGCGTTTTTCTAAGTTTAAAAAATATTTTGAATTTTTCTCCCCCTCCTCGATCCATTTAATTTTAGATCTCATCTGCGCACCTTTAGATTTCTTGTCGTAAATAGCGTCAAGTTCCGCTTCTAAAGTTTTCAGTCTTTTGTAATCAAAATTTTCTACGTTTCCTTCCTCCATATCTTCTATTTCGCGTTCTATTACTCTTTTCTTTTGTTTAATTGACTTTTGTTCATTTTTTGCAAAATAAATAGAGAAATCTTCAATTAACCTTTCGTTTAATTTACTCCCATGTCGTTATAGGGTTTAAAGAGGAATCTATACTATGAATAATGTCTAAAATACCATTTCTGTATTTTTCATTATCGAGATAGGAAACGTTAAGTTTCCAATATCCGGGACCTTTTTTCGTTTTATCGATATCAAAACTAAATTTTAAGTATCTATCATAATGGTCACTCATTCGACTTCCGTTTGAATGGGTACCTGGAATTTTTCTAACCTTAATATCTGCTATGCTATAATAAAAAGAATCATTTATAAAAACATAATCTATTCGACTTTTAAGATCATTTTTTGCATCACACCAAGTGAAACCTGACATGCCTGGATTTTGTTTTTTCCAAATATCATCCATGTTATAATGCCTTATTAAATATTTTAAATAATTTAAACTTTAATCAACATTATTAATATTGTTTAACTGGCAATTAAAGTCTCCACATAGTATAATATTTTCGTTGACACAACTTTTTGAAATAAAATTCTTAAGTTTTTTTGAAAAGTTCATACCTCTTTTTAATTTCATTAGGTGCATATATATTTACAACTGTAAAAATATTACCCTCGATTTGAAGATTTATCAGAATTTTCCTCCCATCAATAGACTTTTTGACATTTATTATGTTTACATCTAATTTTTCATTAAAGTGACAATACGGCGCATCTCTTCAAAGACAGACTTGTTAAAATTTTCCCATAGGATTTGGAATTTTTTTCATAGTCATAAATGTATACACTTTCAAAATTACAAATTTCATAAGTAAATAATTCTGATTATTTCATTAAAATCAAATTTAATAATTATTTATGGCCCATAAATATATACATCGCAACGTGTTCGAGGTTCCACATTCCATGCTATTCACGCATGCGTATAGTTTTCATAAACAACTAAATTAGACGAAAATTTAGTTGGGAGATTAATATAATTATTGGATGAAGAAGAAACGGGATCTCCGCGATCTTCACGTGGGGTTTGATTTGATTTAAACATATTTTATTGAACAATCAAATGGATTAGACGCAAGTTTTGCCAACTCAGATTGTCCTCTCCAACACAAACAAAAATATATACACGTGATGTTCAAGCAACAAATATATACAATAATATAAACAAAATAAAAAGAAGAGAGGGGGTGCAGAGAGTTAAGAAAGGAAGAGAGTGGGAGTGCAAGGAAAGAAGAAATAAAAGGGGTTGTAAAGGATACAAAATGGTTACGCTGGTTATTCATAAAATCTTTTTGATTTTTTGATATATTTATGTACAGCTTTAGCAATATTGATATTATTTTGTTGACCCAATTCTGGGTCCCCAAATAAGATAATGTCAAGGTCTATTGCTCCATTGTTATTCTATATAGTGTGAAATAATTCCGTTCTAATTTCGGCATAATTTTTACAGTACAAGAAGAAGTGTTCAGTGTTTTCATTGATATGTCCACAAGAACAATGAGTGTTATCTGAAAGTTTAACTTTAAATAAATCTGACTTAAGGTTACTCACATTGTGTCTTAATCTTATTAATGTTGTGTTTGTTTTCTTATCACCATAAGAAAAATATTTTGGGGGAGGTTCACCTTTAAAGAGTCTTTTTTGAAAGCATTCACAGAATCTATAATTCTAATCTCTATAGGCAAAGCATTCCATAGTGATATTGTAGATGGAAAGAATGAATTTTGTAATAAGTTTGTTTTACATTGAGGAATGGAAATATTGTTGAAATTGCGTAAATCATAATGGGTAGTTTGTGAGACATCAGGAGGTAATAGATTTAATAAATACTCTGGTGCAATACCATGTTTTATTTTATACATTAAACATAATCTTCTCTTTTCCCGTCTATAGGCTAATGTTTCCCATCCTGTTTCATAATATAGAGACTTGCGAGAAGTATAAATAGGTAGGCCAGTGACTATACGCGCGGCTTCTAATTGTAATTTCTCCAGCCTATCACAGTCAGTTGCGGAAATATTATCCCATACTTCTGATGCATATTCAAAAATGGCCTGATAAATGCAATATACATTTTAGTTAAAAAGTCTCGATTCAATGATAATTTCAAATTACGAAGAACCGCAATTTCTTTTGAAGTTTTTTAAATAATGTTATCGATGTGATTTGTCCATTTACCAGAATATGAGAACGTAAGTCCAAGATGACAGTGAGTAGAAGATGGGGCTCTCTTGATTGTCAAACTTAAAATGTAAATTGGATACCTCATTTTCTTTACCAGCAAACAATAATATTTTTGTTTTATTAGGATTGAATTTTTCAAACAAGTTTTTTGACCATTCATTAATTTTCTCTAAGTCATGATTAGTAAATCTTTCTAAGTCCTGTATATTTTTTGAGGTATTTGACACAGATGTATCATCTGCAAATAGTCTAGAGAGACCATGGAGTCCACATGGCAGATCATTTATATAAACTAGAAAAAGTAAAGGCCCCAAAACAGAACCCTGGGGAACTCCTGCTTTAGTTCTTCCCGTCGAAGAACTTGATGATTTTATTTTAACCTGTTGTGATCGACTCGTAAGATAATCATTTAACCATGCAAGAACCTCTCCAACAAACCCGTATTTTTCTAATTTGTATTTTAAATCTTTCAACCAAACCGTGTCAAATGCTTTACTTATATCACAAAAAGCAAAAGACGTGACTTCTTTATTGTCTAGAGCAATACATATATTGTGATAAATTTCTATCAATTGGATCACCGTTGAATGGTTACGCATAAATCCAGCTTGTAGGTTATATAATAGTTTATGTGATACTAAATGATTATAAATGTATTTAAACATTACTCTTTCAAAAACCTTTCCAATGCAG